CCTGTCAGTGCTGTGGATGAGGTCCGAGACCGGCTGGATGTAGGTGTCCCCATCCACCCCCACAGGCTCCGTGTCCGCCAGCTCCAGTGGGGCTAGAGCGTAGGACAGGTAATCCAGCCAGTCGATGGTGGGGGCCAGGACCTGGAGGGGACAGGGGGACACAGGACCCAGGTGGTTGGCATGGCTCTGCCCCATCCTCCCCAGTGTGTGCGGGAGCTCCAGGGCAGGGTCTGGGCTCCCTGGGAAGGTCCTAAGGTCCCTCAGCACCCTTCTTGTGGCTCCTTGCTACTCTCAATGCTGCTCTCAAACACCACCCGCCCCTGCGCCTATGCGGGTTGGCAGCTCCCCCAGATCCTAATGACCGAGAGGATGAGTGCTTCACTCCAGCACCCACCGTGTGTCCCAGAATGGATGGGGCTGCCCAGGGTGTTCTGGGAAGGGTGTCAGCAGCTTGGACCCCTTGGTGTCCCACTGGACAAGGCCCCCTTGCGTCCTTGGAGGGTTCCCCAGGCTGCGCTGTGCCATGCCCACCTGCAGCTCTGCAATGCTCATCTTGTGGTAGATCTTCTCATCATCCCGCCGCTCAGCCTGGGGGACTGTTGGCCAGGCCAGCTGCGTTTCGAAGTCCTTGCATCTGCAGGCGGGTGGGCTCCGCGCCCCCCCCCAGCAGTGTGCCCAGCTCCACCATGTAGTCCAGGTATGCTGCCAGGACCTGGTGGGACCCCAGGCCCAAGCTCAGCACTGGCCACAGCTCATCCCACCTCCCTGGGCACTGTGCCACACAATGGGCAGGGTGCAGGTGCCTCCCAGCACTGCTTGCACCCGATCGCTATGGGTTTCTCCCGATTGCAGTGTGCCCTGCGCCCAGCCTCACCCTCTCATTGGCAGTCTTGTTCAGGTAGTAATCCCGGGATGGGAGGAAAAGCCCCGACTGGTCCACCTGGGGTGGGGAGAGGGGCAGCATGGGCAGCCCGGTGCCCCCCGGGTGCCCGCCGCTCCTCCGTGCCAGGATACCAACCTGGATGACATTGCTGTTGGAACTCTTGGAGTCCGGACCCACGTACACCGTGAAGAACGGGGTTGCCCGGTACGTGCCTGACACCATTTTGAGTACCTCCATGAAGCTGGTCTGGTTCCAGGAGCCAGTGATGTTCCACCCCCCGATCTGCCAGCAGATGGACCCAGTGCCTCAAGGAGGGATAGGATCCTTCTCTCCCCAGGGAGGGAACTGCTCCCTCCCCAGTTACATGAAAAGTCAGGTGGGAAATGTGCTGGGCTGGGCTCAGCTCACACGTGGATGGCTGCCCCACCTTGTCGATGAGCTCCACGAGGGGCTGGGAGCCCAGCTCCTCTATCCTCTGCTCCTTGAGGCAGGATAGGTAGTACCGCTGTGTCTTCCGCTCTGCCTCGCTGCTGGAGTTGAAGGTGGTGTTCTCTGCGGGAGGCTGCAGGTCAGCCCCACGGATGCCGGGGCTCTGCCTGCCTGCACCTAGAGGTCGCCCCCCACCATGAAGCCCCTGGTACCTTTTTTCCCACGGATGCCGGGGCTCGGCCTGCCTGCACCTAGAGGTCGCCCCCCACCATGAAGCCCCTGGTACCCACCTAGGAGATGCTTCATGATGGCCTGGTTCTGGTCCCAGATGCTGTTGAAGGTGCTCCACTTGGAGCGCCCGTTGGGCAGTGGGTTCCTCTTGATCCAGCCGCCGCACGAGTACTGATAGAAGTCCTGGCATGGATCCGTCTCCACATCCAGGGCTTCCAGGATCTTGCTGGCCACGCGGACACAGGCATCCGTCAGGCATGTGCTGTGAGAGGGATCTGGCAGGGAAGGCATGCCCGGGGCTGTGCGCATGTGCCGGGGGAAACTGAGGCACGGAGCTGGGCCAAGCCCTGTCTGCACCCGGGAATGGGCAGAGCACCCAAAGCAGGAGCCCAGGGCTGACCTATCCCTCCCACTGTGGGAAGGCCACCGCCATCCTAGCAGGGCTTCAGGTTCTACCCTACCTCTGTGGTACTGGATGGCCAGGGCAACAACACAGCGATGCTGAATAGCGGGGCCAGGGAGATGGCGATGATGCAGAGCACCAGCTCCAGGTGGCTGCGCGAGGCCAGGCGGCTCAGCAGCGGCCCCGGCCCCTTCCGAAACCCCACCTGAGGAGCAGGACCTGCTATTGTACCACGGGGGGACCTAACTTCGCCCCTCACTCCCCCATCCCTGCTCCCCCCCGTGCCTGGCTCCGATGCACGACAAGGTGCTGCATGACGAGGTGGGGACCAGGGCATCCCCCCGAGGGTCCCCAGGGCACCAGTCCCGGCAAGCCGGCAGTGG